TGACTTGTTGGAAGCTAAGAAGCTCAGGATGAGAGCCTCCAAGTTCACCATTTTGTAGGTCATCCTGTACAAAAAGGGCTACTTCTTAACACTGCTACGATGCCTTTGCCCAGAAGAAGTAGACTAAGCCCTACGAAAAATCCATGAAGGAGTTTATGAAAACCACTCTAGAGGATGTTCCCTCGCCCACAAGGCACTCAAGCAGGGCTACTTCTGGCCTAGTATGGTTAGGGATGCATAGGAGTACACCAAAAAATGCAACAAGTGCCAACGTTTCGCTATTGTACTCAAGCAGCCACCAGAGGAACTAACAGCCATCACAAGTCCATGACCCTTCTCCAAATGGGGCATCGAAATCTTGGTCCCTCTACCAAAATGGGGCATCGAAATGGGGCAAGGGGCAGTGCAAGTTCGTGGTAGTAGCCGTTGACTACTTCACAGAGTGGGCGGAGGCCGAACCCTTAGCAAATATTACAGATGCAAAGGCCAAGGATTTCATCTGGAAGAACTTGGTCTGCCGCTTTGGAGTACCCCCATGCTATAGTTAGTGACAACGCCATGCAATTCAACAACAAGCTCCTGAACTCGTTCTGCACCGACCTCTAGATAAAATAGCCTCATTCCAGCCTAGTGCACTCTCAGGTGAACAGGCAGGCAGAGGACACTGTCAAAACAGTACTACGCAACCTAAAGATGAGGCTGAAAAAAATAAAGGGTTGTTGGGTGGACGAACTCCCAGGTGTATTATGAGCTTATTGAACGTCACCAAGGGCTTCGATTAGAGAAACTCCTTTCTCACTCGCCTTTGGAACTAAGACACTCGTACCTATGAAAATCAGGGTACATTCTCTAAGGGTCCAACACCACGACCCCATCATTAACGAGGAAGGACTCTACATCAATCTCGTCTTGGTGGAGGATGAAAGAAAGATGTCAATGGTTTGGAATGCGGGATATAAGCGTCGCATGACAAGATACTACAACTCAAGGGTGAAGTCTCTTTCCTTCTAACCAAGAGACCTAGTCCTCAAGAAATTAATCCTCGCTATGAAGGATTTGTAAAAAGGAAAGTTTGGACCAAATTGGAAAAGACCCTACCTCATAACAGAAGTAGTGATGCTAGTCACCTATAGGATCCAGAATTCCGAGGGGAAGGTCTTACCCCATCCAGGGAATGCCGAGCATCTGAAGAGGGACTACCAATGATTCCTTAGGAAGGTAGAAGTAGTAAAGCTGGAGAACTTGATTTTATTTCTTGTACCTTTTTTGGGTTATTACCTATTATTGCTTAGCATAAGCAGTCATCGAATAAAATTTTCTAAATTTACTTCAAAAGTTCTTTGCATTCTTGCATTCTATTTCAAAAGAACAT